GCAGCCTCAGTGCCTGGCGCCCGCCTGCTGCGAGGCCCTTTTGTCTCCGTTTGTCCCCAGAAAAATCGTGGGTTGCACAGCGGGATTACCTGACACCACTCAAATTCGGGGCTAGCAGAGCACTTCTACTTTAGTATTCCCCCCGCTTTATTTCTTTTTATTTATTTTTTTGTCTAAATGTCTCCTTTTTCCCCAATTGACCCCCTCCCCCAGCTCTTCCCAGCCCGGGCAAGCCCCCACCTCCCCAGTGTCTGTGTCCATTGCCCCCCCCCCTTTATTTTTATTGAGGTAGAATTCATACAACATAAAATTAAACCATTTATGGTATTTTATAATATTTTAAATTGTGTATTTTATGTATACAACATACACGTTGTTACATATGTGCTCCTACCCTGTACCCTTCAAGAGGTCTCTCTTTTATTTTATTTTATTTTTTTAAATATATTGTATTGATTTTTTACAGAGAGGAACAGAGAGAGACAGAGAGCTAGAAACATCGATGAGAAACATTGATCAGCTGCCTCCTGCACACTCCCCACTGGGGATGCACCCGCAACCCAGGTACATGCCCTTGACCGGAATCGAACCTGGGACCCTCGAGTCTGCAGGCCGACGCTCTATCTGCTGAGCCAAACTGGTCAGGGCCCATAGTTCCTTCTCTTTTATTTTAAATCATGCTTTTTTTTATTAAATTTTTTTTCCAACCTGCCCATCACCACCCCTAATCCTGGCAACGGCGACACTATTCTGATGACCGCTCCACAACCAGCCAATGCAGACCCACCTCCTACCCTAGACGTCGCGACCGAGTCCCCCAGTTGTCCCAACAGAGACAGTGCCGGCCCGACGCGATACTGAGCTACCAGCTCTCGAATCCCCTTCTCCCAGGGACAGTTCTCAGTCCGCTCTGAGCAGCCACACTGGACCCGGGCAGAGGACGTGGAAAGAAAGCTCTCGCGCCCCTACGTCGAGCAGGGGCCCCAGCCTTTGCATCTTCCCTCCCCAGATGCTGCCTGTGAAAGTCCAGAGGCTGAGCGCCGGGCCTGGGAGAATGCATCTAGGCGGGGTATGCACTCAGGCGCCAGCTGTTCGCCGCCCTCAACACAGGTAACCATTCTTTAACCAGCTCCTGCCGCTTGATCTCTGTGACTCACAGGCCTGACATCTGCCTGCAGCCGGGGCCTCCGCCCCCGCTCGGTCCCACGCCCGCAGCTGGAAGGCGGGGCCTGGTGGGAAAGTGGGCGG